TCGTTCCGTAACACATCATCCCGTGATCAACTCCTTGGTCACATTGTGCACATTATGATGATGTCCTACCGAGTGGGCCTAGAGATACCTCTCCGTTACACGGAGTGACAAATCCCAGTCTCGATTCGTGCCAACCCAACAGACACTTTCGGAGATACCTGTAGTGTACCTTTATAGCCACCCAGTTACGTTGCGACGTTTGGCACACCCAAAGCACTCCTACGATGTTCGGGAGTTGCACAATCTGATGGTCTAAGGAAATGATACTTGACATTAGAAAAGCTTTAGCAAACGAACTACATGATCTTGTGCTAGGCTTAGGATTGGGTCTTGTCCATCACATCATTCTCCTAATGATGTGATCCCGTTATCAACGACATCCAATGTCCGTGGTAAGGAAACTGTAACCATCTATTGATCAACAAGCTAGTCAACTAGAGGCTTACTAGGGACATGGTGTTGTCTATGTATCCACACATGTATCTGAGTTTCCTATCAATACAATTCTAGCATGGATAATAAGCGATTATCATGAACAATGAAATATAATATAATAATAACTAATTTATTATTGCCTCTAGGGCATATTTCCAACACTTGCCGGGGAAGAGAAATAATGTATCAACCATTTCACTCTTTAATTATCATGATGTGCGGTACTTGCAAACTCAAGTAAATAGAATCTCTTGTTGTCTATATGGACAAAAAATAACATTGTGTAACCAAGTACCATGAGTTTTCTACTGATTGGCTAGAATTTTATAACAAGATTTATGTGAATTGAAAAATTAACACCTTTTATTTTATCAAATGATGCTTGAATTGTGGAAGTTACTGGTGGTATATGTTCTCATATTGTTAGATGACCATCGTAATATAGGCCATACTCCCCGCCCTCTTCATAAAAATTTATGGACATGTCCAGAACCTTGACTACCACATCATCAAAGGTATCCAACTTTTACATCACTTTTGATAAATTGTTTAGTATTTCTAAAAATGCATTGTTCCACAATTAGGAAAATAATATGTTTTCCTCGTCGAAACATTCAAGAAAATGTGACACTAATCTTGCATTACCATGTGCTTGTGAATTTGTACAAAAGCAATAGCTCTACAAATTTTTTAAACCCTCATTTTGTTATTTTCATTAGGCAGTGATGCTCATTTCCTGTCGAGATATACAAATCTCATTCATGTTTTTATTGCATTGTTTGCATATTAGTCATCATTTTTCTGTTTACTTCCTCGCTAGAAAAGAAAAGCCATTTTTGTGTTCCAATTGTTGGGAAGCAAAATATCTATGAGCCATTTTCCTAATCTCACAGTGCATCAGCTTCGTAGACCCAAGTAAATATGATCTAGCTAGAATCTGCCCATGTTATTCTAGATTAAAATTTGAGATGCTCTCAACCTATTTACCAACATGGAAATAAGTTTGTCCAAGCAAAGGTACCATGCGGTTCTAGTAATGGGCTCTTATTTCTGGCAAACTTTCTGTGAATTTGAAAAGTTAACTCGACTTCCATCGAATTATGTTTGAAAATTGAAAGTTGTTGGTGGTGAAAACCTAATACTTTTGGATTAATATCATCATAGTTCATACCGCCCCTCCTCTTCCCGCTAAAAAGCAATCATGCAGGTACCCAAAACCCCAAACATCACACCATCAATGTCACCCAACTAGTTCAAGATTTTAATGTAATATCCCACACCTCGCTTTAGGCTGCTTTCAATCAAACTTAAGTATGGAATCTCTCCCTTAGTGTCATTCCAAGACTATTAATGATTTTTTGTGTGTGCGGAGACTACTAACGAAGCAAACTCGTACTCTCGGTGGTCCTGACACTCTTTGTGACACACTCCCTTTCCTAGCGGTCATTGTCTTCTTAACCACAAGACTGTTTAAATATGAAAACTTTGATAGTGCAACTCGATATATTATCGCAAATAGTCTTCTCACCTTTATTTATTAGGATTGTTAGGTTTTAGAGACCCAAAGTTGTTTCTTTAATTCCATAGAAAAAGGTACCATGGAGTCTTTACTTATTACCCTCTAAGGTTTGATTTTGTAAATATTTTTCTTCCCAATATAGGTTAGTTTGGCACAAAAGTGTTAGTGAAGCGAGCACGTAAACCTTCATAAACACTGTTCAAAATTTCAGCAATAGTTTCTTAAAAAATTCGATCATTTCAGCAGGACCGGAATATTTGTAACTTCAATTTTTTGGAGCAAATTCAAACTAATTTCAAATAAGACTTTAATTATGTAAAAATTCAGTAAAATGTGACTAATTCTAATAGAATGGAATTCCGAAAGAATTCCCAAAAATTACAGACATTTCTCGAGATCCGAAATTTGTCTCTTTCCGAAAATTTTAATCCTTGGTCATGCATGAGTGCCCTACAAGCAATATAATGACGTGTTGTCGGTTGGGACAGATGGGAGAACACACAAGGCAATGCAAGGCACTGAAGCCAGTGTAGTAGTACATCTATTGCCCTGTTGGACGGTCTTAATTTTTGTCAAGTGGGTCGATCGGCGCATGCATGTGATTCTTCACGTCCATACACACATACTATTTGGGCAAAGTGAAAGCAACGGCGAGCGGTTGCACGTAAAGGTCAGGGACAGGCAGATGGATGGCTTGCTAACCAACCTGCATGAATGCATAATGCACGTCTGGCTCCTCCTCTTCGAGCTAGCTGCTCCTCCCCTCCACGTCAAGTCACACACGCCATTAACACCTCCCTAGCGAGCTAGCTAGCTCATCGATCGATCGGTAATTCGACATAGATGGTCATCTATCGAAACTAAAACAAAATGTGTAGTTGCACTCTGTCTTGTCTTGCTTCAATCGATTCAGTGCCGGTTAACCCATGCATGCATCGATCACGTTTAGTTAACTTTTCGTCTAATCTTGTACTTCCTCGGTCTCAAAATAAGTGTCTCAACTTTGTACTAACTTTAATAAAAAATTATAGTATTAAAATTGAGATATTTATTTTGAAACGGAGGAAGTACTCGGTACCAGCTAGCTATCAAACCTAATCACATGCAAACATTTATTGAATCGTCTATGTGAGGTACACATATACAACTACATACATGTAGGATAAGGACTGCCGCCGGTCCGCCGCATGGATGGTTACATCAATCAATAATTATGATTATGATATGATATATGAGGTTGTACGTGACCAACTAGCGTATCTTACTCATGTGCAGTGTCAATCCACATTCTGCAGTCCTTATCAGCTAGCTAGCTAGTATATTACAAACTTTTTTTGGTTGATAGATTGCTTGCCACATTGGCCATGTGGTAGCCATATCTATAGTTATATTTGGCCAAGAAAATTTATGCATATATAGTTTGATATATGATCAAGTCGATCAGGACCATCAATTTAAGCCGATCGCCATCGGGCATGCTGGTACGAATATATACATCTTTTACGTGGAAAAATCGTCTAACCTAATGCATGCACGGTCAATGAGCTCATTGATGAAGAAAATTGGACATGGAAGACGGACCTTGTTCGACAAAACTTTCTTGCTCCGGATGCAGAAGCCATGTTAAACATACCATTGAGCACCGGAGGGGGGAACGATTTCTTTGCTTGGGCTTTTGAAAACTCAGGTGTGTACATTGACAAGTCGGCGTACCGTGCTCTCGTGAATCAGAAAGAGCGTCATGCTCTAGAGGAAGGGACGGCTACCGGTGCCTTAAAATTAGAACAACAGATGTGGACATCTCTGTGGAAGCTCAAAGTTGTGCCTAAGGTCAGAGTCTTCTGGTGGAGAGTTCTTCGCGGGATCCTCCCTGACGAAGAAACCCTTAAACACAAACATATCAAACCTCTTAGCCTATGCAATGTTTGCCTGGCCAAAGAGGAGGATCGTATGCATGCATTGGTGTCCTGTTCCCATGCACGCAGATTTTGGGATGAAGCTCAAACCTGGTTCGATCTCCGACTCCCACGCTTACATCCAGCCACCTGGGCGCGCGACATCTTATGTGATGATCGTTTCTAGGATCATGTGAGAGAACAGATTGTGTCGGTGATGTGGGCTATCTGGCATTCGCGGAATCGATGGACTCGTGAGAAGGAGCATGTGGATCCAGTGTATTCCACTCGACGCATTCGAGCAGATTTGGCCTTTGCTGGAGATTCCGATGAAGCAGGCTACCTTGTCACCAGGACATGGCTGGCGTCACCCAGAAGCGAGACTTGTCAAGATAAATGTCGATGGTGCAATCAACTCAGAAGCGGGATTAGCCGGAGCGGGCGGTGTTGCTCGTTCTGCTACGGCGCTGCTTGCTTCCTGGTGCAAACCGCATGTCGGTGTTACGGATCCTCTCATTGCTGAGGCCTTGTCACTACGAGAGGGAGTTCTCTTTGCTCGTCAGCGAGGCTACTCACATGTGACATTGGAATCCGACTGCCTGGAGATAGTGAATCTCTGGAACACTCGTCACGACTCTTGTTCGGTTGTGGCTCCTTTACTAGTAGAGATTGGCGAGCATGCTCTGCCTTTTGTTTCTTTTGTATTTCAGCATGTAAACAGGCCTGCTAATCTCCCGGCCCATCTTTGTGCGAAGCATGCCAGCACGCTGATGGTGGCCGAGACTTGGTTAGACTCTACACCCTCATTCCTTATCAGTAGCCTGATGGCTAATGACCCTAGAAGCGTTTTTGTTTGAATAAAACTCTCACAATTCCCCGCAAAAAATAATAATGCATGAACTGTTTAATTAAGGGGCTATCATGGCGCCATTGACACTCCAACTGCACGCAAGTTAGTACCACAGTACTTCACACTAGCTTAAACTATAGCCCACTACTCGTTGGAGGGACACATGTGTGTGTATAAATAGGGTGGCAGAGGCAGAGTGCTTGGTACACAGTGCACATCCTCCATTGCAGCTAGCTAGCTGCATTCGGTTGAGGCCAACCAGCAACCACACACCACAGCTCATTACTCACTAGCAGCAACGATGAGGAGGTTGCGGCTGCAGCAGGTCGCCGTCATCGTGGCGGTACTAGCGGTGGTGCGGCCGGCTCTGTGCCGGGAGCTGCAGAACAATGGGACGACGGCAGTGGCGGTGGCGGGGGAGGGGAAGCGGAGTCCGAGGACGACGGCGGTGATCGTGTTCGGCGACTCGATCGTCGACCCGGGGAACAACAACAACCTGCACACCCAGATCAAGGCCAACCATCCCCCCTACGGCAAGGACTTCGACGGCCACGTCGCCACCGGCCGCTTCTCCAACGGCCTCGTGCCGTCCGACCTCGTCGGTACGTCCGTGTCCATCGTCGTCTGTCTGTCCTTATCACTGTGGTCGTGGTTTGTCTAGGGTCACTATATTCTTTCTTTTTCATGAACTGTTGTTTTGGACATCAGCATAGTATCAATACATGTACAAACTCCATAAAAAGTTATGTGTTAATGTCAACAAATAGTCGAGACTTGTCGCAAAGAATAAAAATAAATATTCGAGACACATTCACACATATGTTGGTTCAGTTCCAAGTATCCATCACACTTATACTATATAAAATTTGAATACTGAACCAAGAACAATGACTTAACGCAATCGGCTATATATTTTTTATCCGTGGCAAAACACGGGTATTTTGTTGGTAGAGCATATCAAGCTGTTTTATTTGGAAGTGGGCATGATGTGCCCACGAGATAGTACAATCTTGAAGGAAATATAGGAGAGCGGTCATATGGCCCCCGGGATAAACAACTGGATGACAAAAAAGTTTTAAAACATGCACGTGTTCAGATCTTTAAAACATGCCATGGAAAAAAATATTGTGGAAAATTCCACAAGTTTTGTAATGTTTATTTAAATCTAGTGATGTAAAATGAAAAAATAGCATCAAAATTTATTTTAGCACAAAAACTTGTCGTTTTCATGAAAAATTGACCCACACAAAGACCACATATATATTTACATGTGTAACATTTTAAGAAATTTGATATTTAGAAGATCATTTTATTTCACCCTAGGAGATATCTTTTTATTTCGGAGAATGCTGGGGAAATATCTGGCCCGACAATTAATTAACTTAGATTCTCTTAGTTTCTTAACATAGGTCACTCTTATTCTAGGCGCTGAGCGAAAAATTATCACTAAAACACACAGGCTTGCTGCCAGCGTGCCTGCTCGCTCGCATAGAAAACCGGCATTACATGGCTCGATAGATACCAATCATGTTCATCTTAGAAAAAAGCCACTATAAAAATTAGCATCACCTGGTTCAGGGAAAAACCGGCTATGTTTTTTCGAGAAATTCAAAAAAATTCATAACGCCTAATGAAATTTAACGAATATTTTTTCAAGAATTTTATAAAGTTCATGAATTTGTAAAAATATTCATAAATTTTAAAAATGTTTTGAAATTTTAAAGATTTTGCATGAGTTTTAAAAATGTTCGAAAAATCAAGAGGATACTCACGGACTTTGAAAATGTTCATGAATATTTTTCAAGAAAGGTCATGGAATAAGAAAAGAACATAATACACCGAAGCAAAACGGTGAAAGTGAAATCAGACAGATAAGAAACAGAAAAAAAAGGGAACAACAGAATAAAAATAGTGAAAAAACGCAGTAGAATTCGAATAAGAAATAATTGGAAAACTGGAACAAAACCAGTCAAAACACCCAACGAAACAAAAAGAAACAGAATATGGGCTGGGCCATTACCCAGCTCAAGAGCATGTACCAGTGCTTTGTTTTTTGCGGTTGAAATATTCATGTGTGACTGAAAAAATTTCACGCGGCTAGGAAATGTTAATGCTGTCTAAAAAATTAGTCCGAGCAAGTTTCTAAAATAGTTCATTATATTCAAGGAAATGTTTGAGAAACTTAGAAAAGGTTCACCTGTTTAAAGAGTTTTATCCATGACATTAAAAAAATAAGGACATTGTAAAAAATCCATAGCATTAAAAAATCATGACATTCAAAATATTCACACTTTTGAAAGTTACATTTTGTGGCATTTTAATAAAATTCATGTAATTTTGGAAAAATTGGAGCAATTTTAAACATATGTTCATAACATAAAAAAATGTTCTAGTAGTTAACTAATGTTAACGCATTTAAAAAACAATGTTCATGACATCTAATAAAATGTTCAATTTATGTTTAAGAATGTTTAATTTGTATTCAAAATATGTTTAATGTGCACTTTGCGAATGTTCAACACATATTCGGATAGAACGTTGAACATTTTAAAAAATGTTCAATGTGTATCTAAAAAATGATTGATTTGTATACGGAAAATGTTCAACGTGTGTTAACAATTGTAACGTGTAATTCAAAAATGATAGGAAAAAATAAGATAAGATCAAATGTTATAAAATGAAAAAGTAAAAAAATCAGAATGAAAATTGGTAAAAAAAGATAGAAAAGAAAAAACACGTTAAATCTTCCAAAAACCAGGTGGAAGGATCCGCAAACTGGTCCTTGGAAGCTTGCAAAAACAGCTTGGTACAAATTACTGAGCCGGGCCACTTTTAACGATCATCATAGTCGAGCATGAGTTTCGCTTGTAGTAAGCGATGTATACGGCGAAGACTACGTTGCATCTTGTAGAGTCACGGTAAGGGAGATTTAGCACTGGTGCAAGTGTAGTCTTAATTCATTGGTTAGCTGCAGGCCTACATGCTCAATATGCCTTTTAAAACCTGTTTAGTAAACTTTGGTGAATAATTTAATCTCTTTACTTAGTTTGTGGCCTACTTTGCGCTTTAGAACTTGTTTATTAAACTTTATGGGTAAGTTAATCTCTTTAATTGATGGGCCGGATTTCAGCCCAGAAACTTCACGTGAAGAAGCTGGTTGCTCCGTGGCTCAATGTTGACCACACTCCAGAGGACCTCCTCACCGGCGTTAGCTTTGCCTCAGGCGCCACAGGATATGATCCCCTCACTCCAAAGATCGTGGTATGTATTCTCACGGATCCTTCAAATTCAACCTCAACTAATTTTATAGTATGATGTGTGCGTCGATCAATGTAGAGGTTGAATCACGACACACCGGTAGCTGGTCCAGTAAATGAAGTTGTATTGATCTTGCTAATTTCTACACGTAATGCAGAGTGTCATCACGCTGGAACAACAACTGGATTACTTCGATGAGTACCGCGGCAAGTTGGTGGCCATCGCCGGCGAGGAAGAGGCCGAGAGGATCATCGACGGCGCCTTCTTTTTTGTGTGCGCTGGCACGGATGACGTGGCCAACACCTACTTCACCACTCCGTTCCGAATCCTGGAGTACGACATCCCGTCCTACGTGGACCTCCTCCTCGTCGGCGTGGACAAGTTCCTCCGAAGCGTGAGCGCTCGTGGAGCAAAGCTTATCGGCTTCGTGGGCCTTCCACCTATCGGGTGCGTGCCGTCGCAACGGACGGTCGGTGGCGGGTTCCACCGTCGCTGCGAGCCCAAACGCAACTACGCGGCACAACTCTACAACTCGAGGGTGCAGGTGCTCATCAACGGGTTGAATGCGGAGGCTGGGTTCAACACCCGCATTGTCTACTTGGGGATCTATGACATCATCCAAGAGCTCGCCGAGGGCGGGGAGCGGTGGGGGTTCACGGAGACGACCCGCGGGTGTTGTGGGACTGGGCTCATTGAGGTGACGAATCTCTGCGACTCGAGGTTCATGGCGGTGTGCCAAGACGTATCCAAGCATGTCTTCTTCGACAGCTTCCATCCCACGGAAAGGGCGTACAAGATTATTGTTGATTACATTTGGGACACCTACGGTTACCTCCTGCAACCCTAAGTGGAGTTTCTCGACATAGATTGAGCGCCATGGATCGACGAACAAAGAAATTGTACATGACATATATAGTTGTCAAGAGATTCGCTATTATTGTTTGAGATCAACTTATGCATCATGACAGTGATCAGTAAGTCGGCGGGTTGGTCCGAAAACATGGCAAAATATAGGAAAATTATTCTCTACTCCCTTGAGTATATATTTATTACGATACCTCCTATGCCACGTAAGCATATGTTGTCATACTTCTTTATTACTCCGAAAATACTGCGTTAGCTAGTAACTACTCTCACTTGAGAGTTATATATAGGAAAAGGAAATTGAGTCTATGGTTCACGTAATTTGCCCGCATACTTCCTTTATGTATAAAAATAGTTACTCCATTGTAAAAAATAATGGGCCCGGTGACAAATTTTCACAATATTCGTGTGAGAGTGGATTTTCTGGAAACCCATGTAGGTGCACCTTGTATCTAGGCAGTCCAGCGTCGCACCGAGATCATAAAAAATTGAAACTTTGCAGTTCAGTAACACACTAGAGGTAAAATCATTAGACATGTTTGCCGGATTTTTGTGTGCACCACAAATAGAAACTAAAAATTTCAATTGCACAGAGATTGATCGTGATTTTTCTTCTTCTCTTTTTTTGCACAGAGATTGATGATAAACTAGATACAGCTGAAGAAAAGGGAGCAGATATGGCATACGTCGATCGCACCTGCACATCGATCATGATGTCTCTCTATTCGATTCGATTTGTGCAGGTGACAGACAAAAGTCATGTACCTGAGTGACCTATGTACGGGGTATTGGTCACGTACACATATAGATGGATGGATGGATGGATGGACGCATGATTGATGAGAACAAATGTGCTCCCGCTTTAAATCTGGAGTGCACATCATTTTGGATTCCACCATCGCAACGCATTCTGATGAGAGCTACGTACTCCCTGATCGATCAAAATTAGTCTATGTCAACTCAAGTAAACCAAGCTATTCTTACTCACCGGATGACACCGCAGCGTTCGCTGCCTAGTCCAACCGCGTGAACATGCCCCGTCATCTCCCCCTTCCGATTTCTCTGGTTTAGTTTCCTCATTGGCACCCCCCTTAACTTAGTGGAGTCACTTTTATATACCCATAAGACGGGCCCATGGGATTGAGGTGCCATCGGTCGATCCACCCGATTAGCCTCCTCTGTCTCCTTCTTCATCCTCGGCCATCACCCTCTCCCCTGCCCTTCTCAACTCGTAGTCGGATGGGAATGTATGATCCTTTGCTACCTAAGACTAGGAAGCGAACAATAACACTTTGGTTTCCGTTTGGATACCAAGACAAATAAATTCCTATAAAGTTGTTCCCGTGAAGATTACTAAAATGATTGTGATAATCTTTTTTTCTTATGTGGAGGCCTTGCCAATCAGGTCGCACCGGTGTATTCTTAACGCCAGTGCTATATCCCGCATACTGACAATCCTAACACACACTCGCCTGCAGTCACACCGCACAATGGCACTATCAACATCGTTTTTAATAGAAAGAAAGCAATTTTTTGATACACGATCAACATCGTTTTCATAATCTTTTTGTTCAAGGAAAGAATAGTGTGTGCCATTTATTTATTATTATTTCTGGACTCTATGCGTGGAAGTTCTAATGGGACACCTCACCTAAATAAAAGATTTTCTTTTCTAGTAGCATGTACACAAGTATTATTTGGGCTGGGAGCAGAGAGCCCGGTTAGAGAGCGTTTTTCTTTTTGATTCTTGTTCGGGTTATCTGCCCAAATGAGGAAGAATGGGGGTAGTCACCAAAGTGAGTGCTGGCCCAGTTTAATAAACTTCTAGGGCCGAGTTAATCTTTTAATTGACGGGCCAGATTTCAGCCTAGAAGCTTCACGTTAAGGAGTTGGTTGCTCCATTGGCTCAAAGTCAACTACGCTCCCAAGAACCTCCTCGCCTAGGGCGGAGCTGGAGCTAATGTTAACCAGATGCCACACTTCACCATGGTGTAAAATTTTCAAGTAACAATGTATTGAATAAAGGCATGTTCACAACTAGTAACATGAATTATGAAACATAATAGAAGTCGACGTATAAAAATAAAAATGCAACGGTCAAAATGCTTAATATAATAATAAAGCAGAGAACAAAATTACTTGAAAAGTATGTCTTGCATTTCCAAATTCCAAAACACATCATCACACATCAAGGTTCAGTAACCTACAAGATAAAAAATAGAATATAATTTTTAAGTAGTACATAATAAAATTCCCAAATCAAAGTACTTAAATTTGTAAAATTTTGAAAATTACCTTTAGTATATTCTCTTCCTCCGAGCAGTGAAATACTCAACCACTTGGTCATTGCATTGGTGACCTTTTAACAAATAACATTGTCACTCAAGCTGTCATCATTAAGGCGATTGCACATGTATGTATTGATCAGTTTCATATATGAAAAGCATCTCTCCATGGTAGCAGGAGGGTGGGGAGCGGTGGGGGTTTACAAAGACGACTCTCAGGTGTTGTGAGATCGCGTTGATCGAGGTGAGGAATCTCTGCGACTTATGGTTCATGACGGTGTGGCACGATGTATGCAAGCATGTTTTGTTCGACAACTTCCACCCCACACAAAGGCCACACAAGATCATTATCGAGAGCATGTGGGACACCTACGACCACCTCCTGCAACCCTAGATGGAGTTCCTCGACATCAATTGAGAGCCATGGTTCGACGGACATACACAACATATATATATATATATATACCTGTCAAGAGATTTTTCTTTTACTTTTTGAGATCCACTTATGCATCACGCAAGTGATTGGTGAGTCGGTGGGCTAGTCCCCGAAAACACGGTGAAATAGGGGAAAATTGTCCTCTCCTCCTTCGAGCATATATTTATTCCGGCTCCTCATATGCCACATACACATATATATGTCATGCTTCTTTATTACTCTGAACATGCTCCATTGATAATTACTCGTAGTTGGACCACATTGAAGAAGAATATTTGAGTCTGAATTTTACCTAATATGTGTGCATACTTCGTTTATGTGTATACAAATTTTACCGTAAAAACTATTGCCCAGGTGATAATTATTCATAATATTGGCGTGAGAGTGAATTTTCCGAGGGCCCTGCATCAAGATATACGATTCGTGATCTCAAACAAATAAGATACTATACGATTCGCTTCATAGAAACTTCTATTTTTACTGTTTCCCCCAAACAACACGACATATAAATTCGAAACTTTATTTTTTGCGGGAAATATAAATTTGAAACATTGCTGTTTGATAACACACTGGAACTAAATTATGTAGACATGTTTTCGTATTTGAAACAATGGGGTATACTCTGACTGGGGGTGCACAGAGATTGAAGGTGAACTACATGACAGGAAGCATGCATCATGCATGGTACATGTCGATCACACCTGCACATCGATCACAGTGTTGGCTTTTTTGATTCGATTCGATTTGGTTGTGCAGGTGATCCAGATGACAAACAAAAAACCATGTACCCGGCCGGATGGATGACAGGGCACAGTGTATGACGTGAGTGACCTATCATCTACATCTACGTATGTGACATAGTACGTACACTGCTAGCTAGCTAGACTCGCCTGGATGGATGGACGCATGACTGATGAGAGTCCAGCCGTGTGAGAACAAATGTGCCCCCGCTTTAAATCCGAGTGCACATCATTTTGGATTCCACCATCACTTATCATGATAGCTACTCCTTCTATTGACCAAAATCAGTCTATATCAACTCAGGTAAGCCAAGCTATTTTTACTCACCGAACAACATCGCCGCGTTCACTGCCTAGTCCAGTCGTGTGAATACGCCCCGACATTTTTCTCCTTCCTGCTTCTCTGATTCGCTTAACTCACCGACACCCCTGAACTTAGGGGTGTCGGTTTCATTCGATGCCGACTAGCCCATGCGATCGGGGTGCCATCGATCAGCCCGGTCAATCTCCCCTCTTCATTGTACTACTACATCACTCTCCCCCTCCACTCTTTCTCTCTCTCAAATGTACGTCAAGGAATTATTCACTCCCTAAGACTAGAAAGCGAACAGTCACACTTTTGATTTCCGCTTGAATACCGAGGCGAATAAAACTCATGTTTCTGTGGAAATTATCAAAGTGATTCTTCAAGAAAATCCTATTGAACCCGCTCCAGCCTCCAAACCTTCCATTTGCCTTTTAAAAGAGAGATCACACTTGTCCTTTCTTTCCTCCAAAAAGGACCACACATTTTTTTCTTTTCATTTTGGCGGACAAGGATCATACACATATTATACATTTATTTGCTTGCAGCTGGAATGCATGGCCATGCACGTGAGAAACTCCTGCAAGCAACTCTGTTTTAATCTGCAAGGCAAATTAGGCGGATAGGATGGTGAAAACTAACTAAAGTTGCTCCTTCAATTCCACCAATTCATTAAAGCATAAATTTGCTAGCAAAAGAGAAAGGGAAAGAGACCTCGATATTGCATTTGCACCCTGGAAAGGCACACAAACAAATGTAGGATATCCTCAAAGCAATGCACTTGGATTTGCCGAAAAGAGGAGGCAAGTCACTTTGGCCAAATTATTCCGCTGATAGTGGGGAGTGATGGTGAGCCCATTATTTGCCGCCTTTGCTTGGTTATCATCCAACAGACGCATACACACATTCTTTACCCTTCCCTTTTTCTTCTCCAAAACAGAGGTATTTTCTTTCTTTCTTTTTGGTCGCAGCAGAGTTTCTTGTGGGCTACAAGTTTGTATCATCATCATCATCATCATCTTTGTTAATGTTGCTTTCAGGAGGCACTTAATTTGATAACTGCCTCATCTTTATTTGATATCTTAGCAGTAGTATAAGAGCAACTCCAACGGGCCGACCCAAACGGACGGCACTTTTGTCCGCTTTTTATCCGTTTGGGTCGGTCCGGCGGACACAAACGTCCGGCGCTGTGTTTGAATCGGCGCGAGCGCCCAACGC